TACTCCTTAGTGCTAACATCATGGCTCAGCTCCACTTCGTATTATTCAGCATTAGATTCTCATAAGGAGCACATCCTGTATCCTTCATATGCATAGTTCACACTAAGATTTGTAGTGCTGAGAGAATCTAATGCCACTGCTAATATGAAAGGAAGCACACCTCAGGCAGTAATGCAAGTGATGGAGGCTTGTATAAATACAGATGAAGCTTCAGTTGCTTTCCCACTGTCACCACTTTCTGCTTCTCCTGATTCCTCACAGGGCACGTACTGTTACTGGTTCATAGCTAGAGTTGGGAACTGCCATCTTAAGAAAGTTGTATTTTGATAAGGTCTTACAGTAATCTGTTCGTAGGTAGATCTGACACATACACCACTATTTTGAGATGAGAAAATTAGAAGTGAATTTTTAAAACTTCAAATACATTTTTAAAACATTGCATTCCTGCTTTAATTACTTTCAACTCAGATAACATAGTTTGTGCTGTATGATTTTAACTCCTTGAGTTTTTAATGTTTACTTTTGACCTACCATGTAATGCATTTTAAAAATATGACATGTATATTTTAAATAAAACCACTGAGCTTTTCCAATTGTTTCAATGTTCTTTATATGTTTAATAGAGGGGGTCTCAGTCCCCGGGCCATGAGTTGGTATTAGTCTATGGCTCTTTAGGAACAAGAATAAGCAGGTAAGTATTGGGCAAGCAAGCAAGTGAGCAAAGCTTCATCCCAGCTCACAGTCACCCTGCATCATTTGCACTGCTGCCTGAGCTCATTAGATTCTTACAGGAGTCCGAATCATACTGTGAACTGGGCATGCTAGGTCACATGCCTCAATGCAAATCTAATCCCAAAAGTGTCTCCTCATACTTGTATATGGAAAATTTATGTTCCTCAAACTTATCCCTTATACTAAAAATGCGGGGGACTGCTAGTCTAATAAATAAAGTTGTTAACTGCAATGTTCAATGCTTACACATACTTTTATGTTTCTCTGCACAAGCTATCCAAGTTGTAGGAAAGCATATTGGAAACTTTTATTTCGAGTAGATTTGTCTGTTTGTGTATGTGTGTGTGATTCATTATATTTTTTGCTTTATATATTTTAAAAATGACCTTAGTAGATGCATTCAAAATGTATGATGATTTAAATAAAAAAATTGTTACAGTAAAAAACATTGTCATTAATGTCCCTCATAAATTTCCCATTTCAAACACATTTATCTCATTGTTCTTGCCACTTTTTGAAGTAGTTCTCAGGGTTCTCTTTTGTGACTGTTTTTATAAAGGTTATTAGTTTTAGGCTAATGCTGCTGCAATGTGCCACTCAGAAAGTGAGGCTCACAAAAACATCATGACATATCCGTATCTATTTTCCTCACCAGGTCTGCCATAATGCAACTTCAGATTCTTCTTCAAAGTCAAAATGACGAGGAGAAGTCAATGTTCTGAACACGTACAGGAGTTTGAGGCAGTCGTGACAGTGAAACTAGAAAAATGATTTCTAGAACCATTTAAAAAAGTGGTAAGAATGATGACATAGGTACTTAAAGGAAAAGGAAATATTTTGAGGTGGATAATTCCATTTCATCTTTTACTATAATAATTTTGAATTTAAATATTTATTATGTTTTTAGACCACACCTCATTTCTTCATCTGCTTAATGTTAACCTTTCTGTATTTTTATATACTGAGTTTATTAATTGGATATGGCTGGGTTGTAAAAATCACAACCAACATTTTATAGTGATGTTCAGACTTACACACCTTGTAGGTGCTGTTAAATTCTGATGTTCAGTAAAGAGGTGTATTGAATTCATTTTTTATATATAATGCTTTCAATATACAGGTTTATTGGAATGTAAAGTCATCATAAGTTGAGAACCAGCTATATTTTGATTTCTGGTAATTAAGGATTTGTTTCTGCAATATCACTAATGCGATAGTATTACATTAGCTGTGTTCTGGAATTGTTCTCCAGCATGTATCATTTTTACAGAATACAGTGGGATTTTTCCTCTGTGACTGAGCAAATAGTTACCTTGGATATCAAACAGTATCATGGAGTGAAAAAAAGATTGGCTATGGAACTAGATTTCCTGTGTTAGTATTTTTGTTCTGGTTCTTCTCATTAGTATACCCTTGAAAAAATTAAAGATACTCACTGGGTTTCAGTTTCTTCATGGTTCTTATCTGTATGGGGATAATGTGTGTATTACCATGCAAAGTATTTGATGACTGATTAGATCACAGTGGGCACTTATTTTATGCTGGCTATTTAAATTTCTACCAGGTTATTCTACTTTGTGTATTTTATTTTATTGTGTATTTTATCTCTTCCACCTCATGCTTTCGAATTTATTTACTATCAGACTCTCTCTACTGGATACCCCTAAATATTCTCCCTGTACTAGATTTTAACATCTTTATTCCATTTCTCCCATTCACTATTTTATTGAGCACTTGCAGCAAAGTATCAGTTAATATTTTCATCATCTGCTGGCATAATACAAAGAGCTTGGAATTTTGAACTTCAAGAATGTACCTCTCTGCTGACGGCAAAATATTTATTCTTTTAGCCCTGTCAGTTTTAGCAGAAAAGTTAAAATTATTACTGCTTTAAGCCATAATTACTTGTACACATTATCATTTAAATTCAGGTTCAATCTTTTTTTCCCAATTTTCATTCTGTGTTTAGAACTTTCTGTGGAAATAATTTTCATTTTCCTTAAGTACATCTCCTGATGTATATATCTTTTGTGGGAAGATATTATTTATAAAATATTTTGTTTAAAATTTTATCTAAATGTCTTTATTCATTATGGTCTAATTCAGTTTGTGATCAGAATCATAAAAAGAAAAGTTTGTGAATCAAGGCATCACTGTGTTTTATCTTTGAAAACTGTGGGTGCGGAACTGTGTTTTCTTACTTTCCTTTGTTGATTTCATGCTTCTTGTATCTTGTGAAAACCTTTAAGTCTGTGTGGATGTGTGTTCTCTCAGGAATGATTTCACTTTGTGTCTACCAGGAGCCCAGTGGTCACTTGGTCCACTTCGAATTTTCGACCTGCAATATTTTGTAGCAGACTAATAATGTAAAGATAGGCCACAAGTCTAGCTGATGTGAGTATGTAGGATTATAATTAACAGACACTATGTACATAAACCTAGAATTAAGGTAAGATGGAAAAGTTTGTTGCTAGATTTCCTGTATGGCTCTAAAATTTGATATTTCAAAAAAAATGTTTCTATTAAGGTGTAGTCTTTCATGGCTTCTGAATTCATGGAGGATTAACTCACACCTGGATTCAAGCCTTTGTCATTTATTCCCTGAAAGAAGGAAACCAAAAGTGAGCTAGATCCGTAGACCCAGAACCCAGTAAAGCAGCTTCTGGCTTTGTTGTTCACTTACCTTCTCCACCAGAAATTCTCTTGTTTTCTTGGGAGTCCTTCTGTGCATGAAGATGATATTTAAAAATCTTTTCTTTTCCATTGTTAGATACTTTATGATGGGAAGATTTTATGGTAAATGTTTCTCTATAGATGGATAGGTACATCCACCAAACTAAATTCTAAAGTGGTTAGTGCATTACCAGCATACCTGTAAATTTCTAAAGTGAAGAATATCTGTGTGACTTAGGTACTGAAATGAAAGTTAACTTATGTGTATATTTGTGAGATATATTTCAAACTGAGGACAAGTAAATAAAACTATATTTCACTTTTGGAATCAGTGCAGGTAAAATTCTTTGCTGTTGTTTCTGTGGGGTTAGAGATATGACTTCTAAGACACAAAGTACAGAGTATTCTCAAGACATTTGTGTCTTTCAACTGATTGTAAAGATGCATCACCTGAATAGTGATGAAAATAAATTTGAGAGTCATTCTCTGTGAAGGCTGAAAAAAATTTATTGGCACTTTTGTTGGTAATGAAACACTTTCAAATGTTTCTGCAAGAATCACCTCTACGAGCTACACGTCAGAATACTGACATTTGCATAACTGCTACTCATTGTTGGTGACAGAAAGAGGGGTGAGAACAATTAATGGGACATATTCCATGTTTTACACATACCATTCTGTATTAGAATAGAAAGGTGTACATACAGATAAATACAGCACAGTATGATAAACACTGTCACACATGCATATTAAGCATACTGAGAGGAAATGATGTACTCTGCCTAAAGACATTTGAGGAAACTTCCTGAAAGATGATGACACCTGAGCTGATCATAGAATGACAATTGTTTACTATGAGAGAGAGAGAGAGAGAGAGAGAGAGAGAGAGAGAAGAAGAAGAAGAAGAAGAAGAAGAAGAAGAAGAAGAAGAAGAAGAAGAAGAAGAAGAAAAGAGGGGAGGGGAGATGGAGGGAGTTAAGGAGGAAGAGAGAGCAGTGCAGAGAATGGAGAGGAGGGAGAAGAGAGAGGGGACAGGGAGCAGGGGGGGAAGTTTTCCAGGCAAAGAGACTAACAGTGCAGAAGCTGAAGAGGCAACTGAAAGACTTCATAATTGGAGGTTATAGAGGTTGTGAATGTAGTGGGGAGATGATAGTGGGATAGATGAAGGGCAGACTGTGCAGGGCATTCTTTATTTCATAATGAGAAGGGAGGACTGATTCTTTGTTCAGTGGTGCTGTCAGGCTTAGAGGCTTTTATATCTATGCTTCCATATGCTGATAGGCAGAATTAGGGGGAACTGTAAGACTCTGGAGAGCAGACATGAAAAGGGTAATAATGCAGAAAAAGAACCCACAAGAATTAATAATTATCTAAATTTGGATGTACTAAATATTAATTATGGTTTTCTGTAACAGAATTAAGCATTATAGATGTTATTATCAGAGAATTGTGTATATTATTTGTTCATTTATAAAAATGGTGCTTTAGGGAATATGACTCAACCCTAACTTCTTGGATTATTGTGACCATTGTTATTAAAGTCAAATAGATATGTGTGTAGTTTGATACAAATTTTCAAATGATTAATGACTTACTGGGTTTGAGATACTTTATTATATATCAGGTATTGCCTTTTATAGATCCATAACAACATGGATAAAATAGCCATCATTTCAATCATTTGAAGTGTCCTTCAGTTCTGTGGTTATAAAATATTTGAGGATAAGAAGATTTTCTCTAATGGTGTTAAAGCCAGACCAAAAGTTATGTCTATCTGTTAAATATTTTCTGAGTTATGCTTTAAAACACATCTATGGTACACATTTTTCTCATTAAATATTGTTGTTATAGCAAAAATTGCTCACTTTGAATAGGCAATTTGATTTTGAACATATACTAAAGACATACAACAAACAACATTCCCAATAATGGAGGAGGAATCTAAGGCGGACAAGAATTTTATTTTCCTAAATTACAAGGATAATTTGATGAGAAAAAAAAATGAAACTGAAAAGCTAAGTTTCAGGATTCTTGACTCAACCTTTTTACATTTACATAAAAATGGTCAACACTATCTACGTATAATTGGTACTAAGTGGTTTGAAATGCACAAAATGGTTCTCATGTTACTTTACAGAGTCCTAACTACTTGAAAATTAAGATGCATACATTTATATAGCTATTGTCTTTTGGCTACAATATTTGAAACCAACAATATCCAGCTTTGTTTTTGCACAATTTTTTGAAACTAAAGAACAACCACTTAATTTCACTTATTGGTGAAATTCAGATTCTTTAATTTATAGCATTGTTATTTATATGGCAAACTTAATTGTCTCTATCTTTTGTTCTTCAAGTCAGAATTCTATTATGAAGTGTATTAATAGAAAAAATTTTTTCATGGAAGAAGTTATTTTAAAAATCTAGCAAATTATATCAGTAACTATATTCTGAGTAACAGTCTTTAGCTAAAGCAGTATATTTAAAAATTATTCTATGTTTTCTACTAAAGTCTATTCTATTTTGAAAGATGATGATTTAGATATAATGCATACTAATAGGTTGCTTGATTGATGATTATATAATAACATGCATAAAAAGGCTAAAAGTTTTGCAAAGCATTATTGGTTTCTGTGTTGTCAATGAGACCCATAAATTGATTTGAGCATAAAGAAACCAATTAATTTCAATTAGTCACTTCATACAACGTATTTTGGTGAAATTATGAAATACATATTTAGATCCAAGTAAACCTAAAAATATGCATTATGACTTTGTTGACAATAAAATTTGATTTTGACCTGGCATAAAATTAAAACAGCATATGTTTTTAATCCTTGTATTATTAATACCTTATGTGTAAATAAGAGTTCATACAGCACATTTATATAATAAGAATGCAACCTTTGTTAGTGACCAGGAAATTAAGAGATGCCATTGACTAATTGAGAGGAGTTGGGATTAGAATGCTTATAGCCAAACAATTAATTAAAATTGGCAGCCACTGTAAGAGGCTACTACTATTATAATCAAACATGAAAGATGGAGCATATGGTCTTGATCTTTTGCACACATTAAAGTTCACAAACACTTCTTTTAATTAGTCTTTATTCTGAGCAACTTCTTGCTAGATCATGTGAACTTTTATGTACACAAACATAAGATCAAGTATGTTTCATCAATTATATTTGTTAAATTTCCAACAATAAAAAGTCAGAGGCCAGCAAATGAAATACAATAAAAATGAAATATTTATTCTTTTGGCTCAATAATGAAGTAGCTCACCATTCCTTTTAGTAATAGCAATTCCCTGCATGCAGATCATCAATACACTACAATAAATAGTTTATAATAGGAATTAACATTAAACTTTTGGTTTGTGTGAAAAAACAAAAATTTGTGTCATGTTAGGTAATTGCACAACTTTGCTACTTTGTTCATGGCTAAAAAGGACAAAGTCCATGTCATATTTTTAATAGCTTTAGTGCAGCAGGAGTTAAAAAAATAAGCCTAGTTTGCATATGCAAATGCTACAAAAGTTGAGTTAAAAAAAAACAAACTTCTATGAATGACAGGTTATTTTGAGGCAACTATTGTTGATACAAAATGGTTTAAGTTTGAGTCTTTAACCAATGTATTTCCTATTAGAATGCTAGAAAATATATTATAACAAAGAAATCCACAAAACCCATTGTCTAAATTTTATTTTAGGAAATTATCTGTTGAAAATTCTTATGGATTCAAAAGTTTGGAATTGTGATTAAAAATAAGCAAAAACATAAAGTAAAATAAATTGCCATGTCATCAACCTGAAAATAATTTTCTTATGTACAAAATGCTGACAAATAAAATTGATCATATCTTTACACTATTTATATTTTAACAAGGTTTGGACATATTTTTAGCAAAATATGAAGTAAAGGTTTTGATAGTAGTCTGTACATGGTGTATTTCCTTGAAATCAAGAAAGACACCATATGGTCCTCAAGTTGAATTTAAAATGCAGAAGTAAAGGTGTTTTTAAAGAACTTCAAACTATTCTGATGGACACACAGACATAAAGTTGGTTGAATTCATTCTACCACCAATATGTTACTTCTAACAAAGACTTGTGAAGAATGGATTGAATAAAATATAGCAGCATAGGCAATATTAACATGCATTAGTGATAGCCTTCAAACTATTTATGTATAAGAATGATACAGGATACATCCCTGCTGGAAGCTCGCAAAAGACATATACACTGTGGTACATATTTGATTTAATTGAAGTTGTTACTAGGACAAATAATATATATGTGTATATATATATATATATATATATATATATATAATTTGTCCAAACATGCACCACAGAATAAAGTAATTATTTACATAACAGAGGGTATTTAATTGACATAAACTTTCAGCTTTGCTGAGAGCAGAAAATGGCAAAGCAATACTGTAGCAGAATGTGGAACAACTATTCTAAATTGATAACTTTAGATATACTTTTCTAGAACAGATTTATTAGATTATTTTTTTGGAAAGCATTTAACCAAAATTAAATATAGAGCTTTGGAACTTAGAATAAACTTTGCATTTGCTGAAACAGAATACTTTGCATAAAAATAATCCTTTAAATATTAGAGGAGACTTTACAGGCACATAACTGTTCAGATATAAACAAACATAATAGACTAAACACTTTTAAAATTAAAGCCATTTAGAAAATGGAAGTATTTGAAATTGTTAATGTTAGAATTTTTCTGATTTTGTGCATGAATTTCGTCTCTCTGGCATAATATTTTTGTCAGATTATTTTAGAGATTTATGGAGTAGGAATACTGGGATCTAATATACTTTTCCCATAACATAATCTTCATTACAAAAATAGTGGCGCAGTAATATGAATAACCTATGAATTAGGGATCAGAGAAATTCACTAGAAGAAATTTTGTAAAAATATGGCAGATATGGAAGTTAAAAATAGGGTGGATGGGAGTATTGTACTAAAGGTGTTTGGTGTAGTTACAATGATCACTTAGCACAACTATTCTTATAGTCTAGGTAGTCATTAAGTTCTCCTCAGCAGTGTCAGCTGGTAATGAGAGCAGCAACCTCTTGTCAGTGTTCATACCCTGTTTCACAGAGTTGCAGTGACAGAGAGGTCACTGTCTGGTATAGGCACTGACCATGAGTATTTGTTGAAACAGTCAGTTTGGCATGGGTCTCCTCTGGGAGTCCAGATGACACATTTACCTTCATAGGCTGTAAACAATTGATTACAAAGATCTTTCTTTGCTTCTTTTTACTTTTGATTTTCTCTGACCTCTTTTCCTTTGCTTTCTTTTTCTGGCTTGTCTTTTTCAAACTTTTCCTTGTCTGGTTTTGTTACACTATCATAAGAAGGAGGAGAGGTGGTAGAGGAACTGCCATCTGTTTTTTCTGGGGTAGAATTCCCATTTAACTTGTCAATAACCATATCATCTTTGATAGGTAAGTCAATCCTTCCTTTGATTGTCTCTTTGTCATATTTACTTGATATGTTTTTTAACCTTTGCTTCAAAAGATAACATCTGAAATTACGCTGAATGATAGCAGCAGACACCTCCTCCTGTTTGCGTTTCAAAGTGGTTGTAATGGGCTCATAGGAGACTTTGGAAGGATTTGATGCCATGAATCGGTCTTCCATTTGTATTCGCAGGGCATCCATCTCTCCACTCTCACCCAAAACCCGCTTTGTAAAAGCAAATAAGATGTCCAGGCAGTGGATCCGATCTCCGCTGACCATGGGTAGGTCCATGGCAATGAGCTGGACTTTGTTTGGTTTTGCTATGAGAAGAGGAGGATCTAGGGCAGCTGCAAAATCAGACAGCTTGCAAAATTCTATGAACTGAGTTGCATCAGGGTCAAACTTCTCCCACACCTCATAGAACATCTCGAAGTCATCCTCACTCAGAGGCTCTGCACTTTCTTCAGTGGCAACACTGAAGTTCTCAAGGATGACAGCGATGTACATGTTCACCACCACCAGGAAGGAAATGATGATGTAGCTGACAAAAAAGAAAATCCCAACAGATGGGTTCCCACAGTCACCCTTCACTGAGCTTCCAGGGTGGATTGCATCAGGGTCGCAGTCTGGTGGTGCACTGTTGAGAATGGGAGCAAGCAGTCCGTCCCAGCCGGCAGAGGTGGTAATTTGGAACAGGCAGATCATGCTGTTGCCAAAGGTCTCAAAGTTGAACATGTCATCAATTCCAGCTTCCTTTTTAACATAGGCAAAGTTGGACATTCCAAAGATGGCGTAGATGAACATGACCAGGAAGAGCAGGAGGCCGATGTTAAACAAGGCAGGAAGGGACATCATCAAAGCAAAGAGCAGCGTGCGGATCCCCTTGGCTCCTTTGATCAGGCGAAGGATTCTGCCTATCCTGGCCAGACGGATCACTCGGAACAGGGTAGGGGACACGAAATACTTCTCTATCATCTCAGCAAGAAACATTCCTGTGGAATAATATAGAACACAGTTGAACTGTAAACACACTATCTTGCGCTTATAGGAATACTTCATCTGTGAATGGTCCATGAAAAAGACTTGTTTTTAGTATAAACCTTTACTAAATATTTGCATACATTCTGGACTATTGGATTAAAGATTAATGAGTTTTGGTCAATGAACGTATCATTACATAAGCCAATATAGACTTTGCAAAGTCCAACTAATCTCAGCTATTGGCATGACAATTTAAAATTATATACTCCACTTGCTATGAAATGTGGCAGTGACAAAGATTATTTCTGAAACATGAATACACTGTCTTGTATTTTTGAATAACGACACTTCAGCTAATGGAAAATGGATAACATTTGATCTTATGAAGCTCTAAATGTGGAGTTCTACTATAATATCCCATCTTCTTCATTCTCCTCAAATTTCAATTCTCTGAAGATCCACCTCCAATAGATCACTCTTACCTCTGGAAGACTGTTAACTCTTTGAGCAGCGCCTATAGTACTAACCCTACTGCATTGCAATAATTTTTTTTCAAAGATACTGATTTCCTTCCCAGTTTGTAACTTTGTTTACAAACTGTTACAAGCAAAAGATCTGATGCTTTTGTTTCCTGTCTTGTTCTCTCAATCTAATATTCCTAATATAGTTTCTAACTAAGTAACTTTTTAATAAACCTAGGTATCAGAGCTTTTACTCAAATATATTAGTATTTAATTACAGGTTTACATATACTATGACTCTCAGACCTAATTTCCAGGTTAAGCAGCTGATGGCACTTGGGGCACCCGTTTCACTACCACTGCAATTCATTGTAATTCAACCATTCTTACCCACAATAGAGAGGATGACCACCACAAAGTCAAAGATGTTCCAGCCTATTGTAAAGTAGTAGTATCTGAGTGAGATGAGTTTCAGCACAAACTCTCCAGTGAACAGGACAATGAACACGAGGTTGATCCGGGACAAAACTAGGGTCATATATTTGCTCTGGTCATCTGTTTCTACCATCATGGTGACCATGTTGAGGCAGATAAGGATCATGATGCTGATATCAAAGACTTGTCTGGTTACAAAATCAAAGACCATTCCTTGGAATTTATTCTGGAAAGAGAGATAGGAGCAAGCATGTTAGTGCATCTACCTTAAAATAATGATCTAGTAAAACTAAAGATAATGTCTTTCACATGGCTGACCCCATATACAACTCACAAACTACTCATGCTTCCAAGTTTTAATAACTTTCAGCAAAGTAGGTTCATTTCCTTCCAGGGACAGCATCCTACTTGTTTTTATCTCTTATCTTCCACCTCTAACTTCAGTAATTCTTAAAAATATGGTAAACTAAAGTATTTGATGGGATTTATGAGACCTTGTCAAGGACCAGTTTTAGTAATTACATATTTTGTGATATGGGATACAATATTTATTTTTCTTGGTCTTCAGTTTCCTTATTCTTTACTTAGAGCATGGAGGGAGGCCAAGGGGAAAGGGATAAAACTAGAAATTTCTATTTAAACAAGCTCAAGACAATGTCGTCTAAACACCTGAAGAACAGTAACCAGATTTGGATTTGCTGTAGGAGGCTGGACCTTGCTCTGGAGAAGTTATTAGGAACGCGAAATTGGAGGTTTACAACTCACAAAATGTAAAGAATAGTACCTAATTTTAAGATTTTGGCAATTGGTTTTGTCCAGATGTAGATTGTGCTCTACAATATGAAATTTATAATTAGGACTATATTGGTGATATCACCCAAATGTTCTGATTCAGAACATTGCTTGACTTAAGTGGGAACACGGCTTTAGACTTCAAAGAATATGAGTAATTCTTACTGAAGGCCGAGGTATAGGTTTCTGAGGTTTCTTGGATCCAAGTTTCTTCATCGCATTGTAATATTTTTTCTGTTCCTCTGTCATAAAAATGTCTTGACCTCCAAAGTGAAGACATAGTATAAAACTGGTTACAACCCAATATGTGTCACAACAGCACTTTTGTTAAAATGCATGAATCTTCCCTTAGTCTTGTTCAATTTTTAATGCATATTCTCCTTTTAATTACAAATTTATTCTGCTTGTCCCATTTATGTGACATTCAGAAATACTTTAATAATATGCAAAATCAAAGAGTACATACAATTCTGATTAGTTCAGGATGCTAACTTGATTACATCATGTTTAAAAGAAAGCTTACAGGTCTCAAATATATTTTCTAAAATAAAATATATTTCCCTTTTCTGCTTTAATTATCAATGTTGACCAGTTTTGGGGGCTAGACAGCATCCTTGATTTCAGAATTACATATATACATGGTATGTGGCACAGGGTCTTGCTCCTCAAGGGACAAGAGACAAAAAACATAATTGGCAAAGAAATATGAAGAGAAAAAAGCACCACAGAAGCAAAAATACATAGGGAGATTTAGAGACTGGCTTTACATAGACAGTACCCTTAAGCTGAGACTTCAAGTGTGATTAAGAATTTACTGGAAAATTCATCCCAGAAGAAAAACTATTATTTGTAAAGTCATGGAGAAAAAGTTCTGGACATGTTCAGAAAAGGTTATAAAAGTTCCTGTAGATCTGTGTGTAACAAGTGCTGGTGATGTTAATGCAGAGTGGGGTAGTGGGTCCATAGTGAGTGAGTAGCAGGGCAATGGAAGCAAAGACTGAGGTGTGAGACAGGAAGTTGGAAGATAGAAAACAGATAATTTCTGAAAGGCTCCAGCAGGTTTTGAAACAGTGCCAAATTATGTCAGAAAGATATTCCAGCCTTCTTTAGTGGATGAACCTGGAGAGGAACCGCAGGCGAGCTTAACTGACCACAAAGTAAACTGAAGCTAACATAAACATGATCCAAGTCCACCATGGCTACAAGTATCCTGCTGGTTGTAATGAAACACAGAAACTCAAAATAGTGAAAAGTGGAAGCTAAGAAATACTTATCTTCTTTTTCTGCTGGTTGAAGTTATCTATAATGACTCCAATGAATAGATTTAGAGTGAAGAATGATCCAAAGATGATAAAGATGACAAAGTATAAGTACATATATAGATTTTTTTCATATACAGGCTGAAGTTTAACCTAAATCATATTGAAAATAGTGATATTAAAATGGTAAGTACATTATACAGTAATAAATGTTACTCTACTCAATTACTTTTATCTTAAGATACTGATATATGTATATTTATACTGATACATATATTTATACTGATATGTGTGTATATATATGTGTGTGTGTGTGTATCAATTATTGAATTTAGGACCTCGCACTTGTGAAGCAGGCACTTAGGTTGCTGAGCTACATCCCTGGCCTATTTTACAAAAAGATACTATTTTATAAAAAGAATTTTTTCACATCAGCATAAGAATTTGCAAATATTATAATTATTCTTGAGTCTATTTTTCCATTTTGCCTTACCTGTAACATTCTTTAGAATAAATTAGGTGATATAAATAGGAAAAACATGCTGTTCTTATGATACATTATTTGGTTTTGAAAAGACTAGCTCTTGGAAATACAACTTTAATGGCTGGATGTCAACTTCTAAGAGTCAGTTGGACCATAAATAGATATATTTTGAGAAATTATTTTTATTTATGTTTTCAAAATTGAGTTTTTATAAAATTTGTTTGCTTTTAAGTATTATAATATTCTTGAAAACGCCTTCGAAGTCTAATTTTTTAGACTCTCTAGGGATAGAGACAGAAATTATTCTGCTACTGAGCAACTTTCACACTGAATAATCTTATTTATAGTACTAATCTAATGCTCATGACCCATGCAGTTTGATAATCTTCCATAATATATATGCATTAAACTTATATTAACCATTATTTATGTAAAAGCATATTACTTTCTACTGAAAATTTTTATATGCAATGATAAATATTCTGATTTTATATAATATAAAGTTCTAGATATTTTAGTTAAATTATCTACAACATTTACCAAGGAACATCTAAAACAGATTTGGGTATAAACAGATAGTAATTATGAAATACTTACATCACGTGAATCAACTGCTGCATACATAATATCCATCCAGCCTTTAAATGTGGCCTGTAAACAACACATATTTGAAGTCTGCATAAATACTTCATACAAGACTGGAATTATATCTGATGAAAATCTGACACTATTATGATAGATAATTTTGAAAGATTAAACTGAAACGAAATTAAAAATTTTTAAAAATTTTTGTATTTTGAGTCTAAAGCTACTTTCCTTGTCTTTCTTGGAAGATGTTCTATTCTTTTGATGGAAAAATTTAACTAGAGGCTTAATTGGTGAAATTTCCTTTTTTTTTTTTTTGGTACTGGGGATCGAACTCACAACCACGTGCTTGCAAGGCAAGCACTTATGGCACTGAGCTAAATCCCCAGCCCCTTATTGGTGAAATTTTCATCTCAGGCTTATATTCTTTTAATATCAAAAGTATGCTCTACATTCAAAACTGTGGTTATGTTTAAACACAATTCATTTTCTCTAATTGTTCATGAATACATTTACTGATAAACATATTAAACATTATATATTTTAAAATCCACTTTTCTATTCATAGTAAAATCATATTTCTTTAGATATTGCTACAATAAATGATCTCATCAATACATTTAATTCATTGTTATGATATACACATTGCTTTTTAATATGTAAAAAATTGTTCCTTTGGGAGTGATCACTGGAGGAAAGTTAAAAATGACAATTCTGTTCAATAAAATGAGAAGAAAAATAGGAAGAAGAAATATAATATTGCATTAAAGTATATTTAAAGCTACACAATTGGGAAATATAAAAACAACTACAACATCTTTACAGTCAAATCTAGCCAATATTATTTGTTATCAACTACTTTCTACTGTCCAAAATTAATCATACAATGAAAAACACCAGAGAAATAGATAATCTAATTTGAATGATTCTAAAAACGCTTTCAAAACTCAAACAGTAGCCACTTACCACTTGAAGCAATGCAAGATAGCCAGCACCAACATTATCGAAGTTTACTTTAACATTTTTCCACCGAGCTTGCTTGCCAAGGGCCTGGCAATCACTGAAATTGTTGACTTCACTAACTTCAAACATATTACCAGTTGTCATGTTAACACAGTGGTAGAACTTGCCAGCAAAGAGATTCACACCCATGATGCTGAAGATCAGCCAGAAGATGAGACAAACCAGAAGCACATTCATGATGGAGGGAATTGCTCCTACTAGGGCATTCACAACCACCTGCAAGGAACAATGGGGATAAGAGAAAGTACACTTTACCAACATGTAAACTACAGCCCATTCACTTACGTGTTTAGTACTAACAGATGTTTGAGAGGAGTTAAGTAATAATCTACGTAAATTTCTAGTTCTAAAATGTTTCTTCTAATATTTTGTAGTTCATACATGGTAAGGGAAAACAAACAGGAACACGGGTAAAGAGCCAAAGATTTAAGGAAAGCAAAAATACATCAATGTATGAAAAGAAATAAACAAAAACCTGATGAAGTAAGATCGAGTCAGAAAATGTTTGCATGCTAGGGAAAAAAAGAAAAAAGATACATTAAATGCCAACAGAATAAATGATCACTTTTAATACGTTTTAATCTTCAAGAGTCTGAGTTATTGATGATTTGAAAAAATGAGCAAACAGACCTTTTATAAATAATCAAAGTATTCAAAAGTTCTTAAACCATACTCAGGGCAGGTAACTTTTTATAACTCTGAAGAATAGCTACAGGACTATACAAGATCCTGATTGTTCTGATTGTTGAATTCTAACTTTAAATTGTATGTTAAGAGTAAGAAGTGAGATTTAGCTGTAGATGTGAGATGCTGAGTACAATGTTATTATTATTACATCAAGGGTTCGAAATGTGCCCTTGGGGAATATATGCTATTTCCTCTAGCTATGCTGCCCCATTTGGTTAAGGGAAAATTTAATCCCCTTGCATTTCATAAAAATCATGAAACACTGAGATGTACTGTAAAATTTCTAAGGAGGTCATTGCTCATTTAATTCAGTTTGTTTCAGACTGTTTTGTTAGAATTTATATTCAGTTAAACTATTGTTTCATTTGAAATAATATAAACATTATTTTAGAATCAAAAATTTTAAGTGGGCATCAAAATCTGAAGTGCAATGTTATAAAAATTTTCTGTATTAACTGAATTTTATCTCTTCAAGAAATAAAGCCAAATGTATTACAGTTGCCAGGTTTTTTTCCCCTACTGAAATTTGTGTAAAATCCTTTATACTCCTTAAATACATTTATTTTCAAATAAATATGGACCCATTTAGCTGGAATTTTCATTCTTTCATATAACTGAATGAGAAGTATTAGAATATTTTTCAGATTAGAGAAAATTTCTAGTTTTCTGTTAGGTTCAGTGACTATCTTCTCCTTAAAATGAACTATAAATATGAAACCATGAAACCTGAAGAGAACTTAAGTAATATTAGTGATGATAGAAGATTGTTTTGAAACCAACTTGGAAGGATATAGTAATTGCTATGACTTTGTTAATAGTAGCAGTGAAATAAAATTACAATGCAAAAACCAGGCATCTCTTTGTTTTTTCTTTTGGACAGTCTGGAGAGTAGTTTCATTCTCCCTGATGAGAAAATTTTGCAGTAAATGCGGGAGCAATTTTATCGCTCCAAACAAATCACCTCCTAACAATAAAAACCGTGTGGCCTTGAAGAAATTCAATATCTGTGTGCATTTGCAAACCAGATTAAACAAAACTGGCTTTTGTGCAAACAGCACAGGAAAGGGTGTGGCAAGTGTGTGTCTTATATTTAGAATCACAATATATGTGTGCTAAGGAAAAGAACAGGAGAGGAAAATGCACTAGCTACAAGAAAAAGTGGAGCATATTCAGAATGTTTATTTGAAAGTTATATCCATAAAGCAAGGCTGAAGATGTGTTAACACTTAGCTAATTATCATAGCAACTTGTTTTGTTTCCTTCATATGTACAGATTTTGTAATTTAATTTTGTTTTCTTATATAACTACAGTTTTTATTACTGATATTAAATCAACAAGAAAAGTACACAATACAAATGTGCCTTTTATTCATTGCCAGTGCTTTTCCAGGAATCAAATTTATCTATTTAGAAAAACAAAAAGGCCCTCCTAAAATGAAAGTCAGCAGTGCAGAGTGATTTCTAAATATATGACAATGAGATGAAGTAAATCCCAGCACTGTTTTTGGATTTTGTATGATTCCTGGATTGTTTTAGTTCTGCCAAAGTCTGTCAGGGCCTTTAGTTTCTAGGGGTTAGGCTTAGTGATCTCTAAGATCTTGCCCTGAAATTCAGATATTCTGTACATTTCAGAAGAGTTTGATGTCCTTCTGTATATAAATCACTACCTATGCTCAATTTTGACATAAAGTTTGTAGTTTCTAGTCCTCTTACCCTCATGCCTTCAAACCGGGATAAGGCTCTTAAGGGTCTTAAAGCTCGTAGTGTCCGTAGGGATTTGATGGCACCAAGTTCTGAGTAGCCAAGAGCATTGGCTACCAAGCTAACCAAAGAAACCTACGAAAGGAAAGCATATTAATTAGTTCACAAATAAATAAACTGTTCATGAAAGACATAGTTTGTACTATCTATTCCTTAGTGCTACCTAAATGAAAGCTTGGAGATTCCTTGGCGTATTGTGATTCTTGTACTCTACCAGCTTCAACCAAATATTGGCTAATACTGGCATTTGTCACTAGTGAGTCTGGAATGCTTGCTCATTTTTATACACATTCAAAAATTCATCCACCTAGATAGTTCACACCAGAGATCTCTTTTAAACCTGGACATTAACCAGTGATGATTCAGGGCCCAATGATAATTCAGGGATTAATTCAAAAGCCAGAGGCTCTGTGCTTAGTTTCTTAGCAACCATGTTTTTCTCCTGTAAATTTGTAGCAACTTGCTTAAGCATTTTGGAGATATTTGCCATAAAATAGAGTCAGTTGGTCTGATACCTGTTTTCCTTTCCAGGTCTCATAAGCCTATTATTAGCTGGGATAGAACATCCTTTTCTTAATATGCTCAGCCCTACCTAGTTGAACATCTCTTACTGGGTACATGCTGTATGAATAAACAAGAGAAAATTTTATCTGGATAGATTTTATTCAAACAACTGGACTTTTGATATGAATATAGTATCTCTTTTTATTTCCAGGAAGGTCTTACTTTTTCTGTTATTTATATTAAATTTTACTTTACTAAATGAAAGATTAAAGAAGGCACGTTCTTTGGGAAGTACATCATCTTCTTTGATATTCATTCAGCATAATTTGATATCTATATACATAAGTCCCAAGAAGTATTATTGATATGAAGAAACTGAGTGCTATGTACACACACTGAAGAAAGACGAAGGAGGAGGAGGAGGAGGAAGAGGAGGAGGAAGGAGGAAAGGAAAAAAGAGAAGATAGTAGAGGAGGAAGAGGAGGGGTGGGAGAGGAAGGAAAAGCAGGAAGGAAGGAAGGAAGGAAGGAAGGTAGGTAGATAGGACAATTCATTTAATATGAGGTAGAGTTCAAGGCTTGAATCTGCATGATCTGACTTTACCCTTTAGCATTCTTTTAGAAATTCTTCAAGTGAAACACAGAAAACAAAAAATGACTTTAATTTTAATGACTTCTGAGTTCTTGCAAGGATGACACATAACTAGTGCTTTCCTTGATGCACTAGAGAAAGGTTAGTTCATTAAATTTATTGGATAGAATTAAGAGCTCTGGGGCTTTTCTGTTAAAAAAAAAAAAGGCTGTTGAAAATGAGTGTGAGTTCCCTCAGTGATCTTGTGATGTGAGATGAAATCAACAGTCTGCATAACACTGTATCAAGGATGGCATCAAAAGTGGAACCTAGGCTTTCAAGGCAAATGGAGCCACTGTCTCTGCATTATTTAATTTAGCACATATCTCACAGAATTCAGCAAGATAATAAGTGACTTGAAATTGTACATGATCAGTGATAAGGTAATGTATCAAGCTATTTATTTCTGTCTTGGGCTTGCTGTTAGAGAAGACTGATAAGATGGGAGAGGTTATTGGACAATTTAGAGAGCTCTATGTGGTGGAATCCTCTGCTTCCAGAGGCATTAGCAGCTATTTTGTGTTTTTGGAGTTACTAGCTGAAGTCTTCTTTTATCCTACCAATCATGTCCTTTATTTAAGACTTTCTAACAGGAAGTGGCTGCAAATTTCTCAAAATAATAAAGAAAGGAAGTGGCACTATGAAAAGAAAAGAAAGTCATGTCCAGAAGCAGAGGGTGCTAGGATATGAAGTTGTTCAAAGACTAGGAAGCGTACTTTGCCTTATTCACCAAACCCAGGAATAAACCTTGTTATTAGAGAAGCTCAACACTGTGAAACCACTTTTCCAATTGGGCCTCCGTGCTCAGGGAACAAAGTAGCAGAGTCGTAGCCCTGATGAAAGGAGGCCAGCTGTACCCAGAACCATTTTTTCTAGATTGTAATGTCTAAGACTTTCTGAAAGTCCCTAAATAGAGACCATTAAAAATTACCTGACATTGGGTTTCCTGACCAATCTATGTTGGGACTTGTAGAGTATTTGGTTTGTTTAGGAAAACAGAAGAATTTTAAATGTTCATAGTATTTTAAGAATATTCACAGCAGACTGGCTTATTTAGAGTAAAAATTATTTTATAATGTTTATTTTTCTATACAAATCTCTTTGATAAGATCATTATAATCTTACGCAAATAATTTATCGATCTTCATTGACTCACTCCATACTGTCATATTGTCTAAGACTCAAACTTATTTTATTTGGTTAATTAATCTTGCAAAAATCTTAATATATCTAAAAGCCAATTTGGAAATAAAATATTTGAAAGCTATTTTAAGCAGAGGTAATTTCTTGCCCAATATTGTAGATTCTTTGGCACACTTAAGGTTTAAAGATAATGCTCTATATTGGAAGGTTGCCTAATGATTTATAATGATCTTTTTTACTTATCATTTTTGTTACACTAGCAGTCAAAAGTCTAGTCGAAGAAAAGACAGTAACAGTCAAACATATAATAAAAATTTAGATCTTCTGTTTTCAAGTCTTGTATGCTTTTCATTTCAGCAAAATTTGTCCCTAAGCCTTCAATATACAGTGTTCTAATTTTGTAAGCACAAAGGAATTATTTACTGACGTGCAAAATATATTAGGTAATTATTTTCAAAATTAAATACTTAATATAAATTTAAATGAATTGGGTACCACACACCATACTACACAGTAAATAAATGAAAATTAGTTAGAGTTTTCATAGGCTGGGTCAGCTGTGATCCACACTTGCCATTCCTATGGCGACTAAAACCAAGAAAGAGACAAAATTCTAGAAGAAAGTGACAGTTCTGAAGAAGAGGCTAGAAGTTTTATGATTGCCTAAAAACAAATAATAGAAATTAATTTCCCTTGAAAATAACTAAATTCCCCGTCTGGGTACCTTTCTAGAATAAATGAAAACATCACACCACAACAATATATGTGCACCAATGTTTATAGCAGCACAATTTGTAATAGGTAAATCTTGGTAAGAACCCTAATACCCATCAACTGTGCTATGGATAAAAAAAAGTGTTTATATACAATGGAGTATTGCTCAGCTATAAAGACAGATAAATGAGGCTTTTATAGGTAAATGGATGCCACTTGAGACCACACTTATAAGTGAAATTAATCAGAATCCTATATATAAATATTGTATTGTTTCTCTAGTATAAAACACTGGAAGAGTAAATAAGATAAAAAAATGTACAATAGATATTGCGAAAATGAAAAAGGAAGAAATGGCTCATAAGGAAGAACAACTAGAATGGGGGAAAGGAGAAAAGAAGGAGAAAAGAAATAAAGGGAAATATATGTGTGTACACATATTCATATATATGTGTGTGCATATATATATATACACACACACGGTAACTATACTACTAATATCTGTTAGTTCATCAAATAGAACAGTTTGTGCTTTCATTGTTCAATTGGTTAATCATTTTTTCATGCCTATAGCTTGTAATCTGAACAAGTGCTTTGATGTTAACAATACACAATATAATAACCAGTGGTAATCTACTATTATTTTGTTTTGAAATTCTGTATCATTTTATTCATTTTTTGTTTTTAAAACAAAAAAGAAAATAACTAAAGATAACTTTTAGTGCAATATGATCAGTAAAAGATTAAAGTTAAATATTATTTCCATTCATTTTAACAATGTATCTCAATATAAAGGTTTGTACAAATATTAATAATAAAACCCAGAAGTATTCCTGTTAAAACCAGAGTAAAACAATATGCCTATCACTAATTTCATTAAATACTTTCTGAAAAAACCCAACAGTTACAAGAATTAGAAAAATGAGAAAAGTAATTGCAATTTTTTTTACCTCAAACAGTTAAATGCAAGACTATTAAAAATGATAGTGAAATCATTTTAAGTGGTCAAAAAATGTATACTTCCTAATAAATTTTTAAAAGCTTGAATAAAAATTTTGAATTAGATAAAAGTAGAAAAATATAAAATTATAAGGACAACTCAAAATATTCTTTAAAGGCAAAGAGAGGAAAAATTCCACCAGATGGTTAAATTAATTATAAATCTATGGTAATTGAAGTTGCATATAAATAGATGAAGAAGTGAATGGAAAAATTAAAGTTCAAATTACATCAAGCACACACTGCAGTATAGCATGTGAGTAATATGGTAAGGTATTGAATCAGAGGAGAAAAACCACATCTGATTATAATTAAATGAGAGCCCATTTGGAGGAAAATGATACTGGGGACTTCCCTCACATCTCTCTCTCCAAATTAAATTCAAACGAGCAAAATTTAAAACATAAAATAAAAACTAATAGGCACAAAGTGTTCAAATTATAAAGCTGGGGGAAAACAAGGGAATATTCTCAATTATCTTATGGGAAAAGGCCTTGATATGCATGACAAATTCAAGAATAAAAAAATGACTGGTAAGTGCAGCCAAACCAATTTGAAAAAATTTCCACATGATAAAAAATCAAAAACCAAAAAACTCCAAAAAGGAAAGCTATTCATAAAGCAAATCTCCTTCCTATAAAAGGAGCTCCTACAAATCAGTAACTAAAAGGTTCCTTAATCAAATAATAAAACATATAATTCTTTGTAAAATTGAACTTTATTCTATCTTTTTCAACAATGTATTTATGCTCCCTATTGAATGAAATCAAATACAAAGTGAATGGGATATGAAACAGCAAGGAGGTGAGTGGTAAGAAATTCTAGATTGTGTAGGAATTGTATAGGAATGACTATTTTAGCAGAGGAAAAGCAACAGAAGCCTGGTCTCCTATAGAAACAGGCAAATTGTTTCAGAGAGTACATGCAAGGCTCTGGATCTGGAGGTATCAGGTTCCTGGAGATTGGGGGAGGAGGAATGTTTGAGGCTGAAATAATAATTGATTGAATGTCTGTATCCGGGAAAATTGAATCCATCATTCTCTGACCTTGCAAGAAAGCAGAATGAAATACATCTTTACAGCTAA